AAAAAACTATGCAGTTTTCTAAATAATTTCAAAATACTATCGAATAATCATCCACTGATGATGCTATCTATAAATTAACCTTAACCATATATGATACGTTAGATAAAAAATACATATACTTAGTATATTTGTCGACCTATCAAAAGCCTTTGACACTGTTTTTCATAAAAAATTGTTGGAACAAATTGAAAATACAGAAAAGAATTCAGTATCTTTGAAAGTTATCTGTCAAATAGAGAACAGTTGATGGAAATTGACAATGATAATAGTAGCAAACAGATCGTAACCTTTGGTGTCCCACAAGGTACTGCTTTGGGGCCTGTTCTTTTGACATTCTACATAAATAGCCTACTACACTTAGATAAATCCGCTAAAATTATTATATTTGCTGATGAAACTGCTGTTCTGTACTCTTCATCTTCATGGAAGGACCTGAAACATAAAGTAGAAATTGATTCTTCTAAAATATCTGAATTGCTACAGTTTAATAAATTAACATTAATTTATCAGAAAACTAGATTCTTACCATTTTCTTCCTATGCAAAAGGCCTTCCCACATTGGGTCCATTAAATGTAGGATTGAATAACGAAGTTTGTGAATCTACATCAATTAAATATTTAGGGATTATTGTGGACAGGCATATGAAATGGAACTTCCATTTAAAACAACTCATAAAAAAGTTAAGAGGGTTTTTACCAAAATTTAGATATCTCGTAACGTGAATACCTGGTTATTTTATCTATTTTGACAATGTGTTTGAGCTCAATTGATAGGGTTTGGATTAGGTTTTTAAATATATATATTTAATAACATATTATTATTAAAACATACCTTATAAAATCAGACGGCCATTAATATAAATATCATCTAATTCATCGGATGACCTAGATTAAAATAAAATCAACTTGATTGTCGCTGTCAACCAAATCAAAAATAAATCTCACAAGGCTTAGACGACAAATGACATTTGAGTAAGAGGTGATTGTGTCGAAATAACGAAATCTATGTGACTTTCTAAACATACAATGCTTGAGGTCTCTTTATTTTTCTTTACCACAATCCTTATTAGTATACGGCATCATTGGTTGGGAAGGTGTGTATGATAGCACATTGAAAGATGTTCATGTAATACAAAAATGAATTTTAAAAATAATTTACAAAAAAAATATTTTACACCCTAGTAACGCACTTTACGATGATTCTAATATATATGATATGAGACAGTTATACTTTTTACAAATTATATTATTTTTGAAAAAATCTAAAATTACCTTAAAACCTCATGACCATCCCTACAAGACACGTCGACCTGAAGCTATTTTGTTTTCGCGATCAGAAAAAAGAATCGGCCAAAGATGTAGTGATTACCTGGCTTCTAGAATCTTTACGTTGGTACCTTAAGAAATAAAGGACGTTCCGTTGTACAGTAGATACAAAAATAGACTAAAAATCTGGCTTCAAAAAGAACGTAAATTAGCAAGTGATGTTGTAAATCAGTCAAATCAGTATTAAAAGAAGTATTTGCCTTTTTTTTCCTATTTCGACTATACACGATAATAATTCATTGAAGACTATCATAATTATGTAAAAATATCCATTTTTTTTATTTTTATATTTACATTTATATTTTTATTATTATTTGTATACTAATTTAGAGATCTATTTTACATTTTATATTTTTTAGTTTCTTCTAAATGTTTAAATGTTTTTTTAATGTTTAAATTCATTTTTGTTCTTTCTTGGGTTTTATAGGGACATATACATAGACCCGTTTAATGTTTCGTGTACCTATCTTTAATCATGTGTTATGTATATGTACTTTATCACGTACAAGCAGTTTTAAACTGCTTCTGTGATTACCCCCTAATGTGTATTCTCTTTTTTTAATTGTATTTATATTGATGTATTATTATTTGAATAAACATTATTATTATTATTATTATTATTTTTTAAATAACATTTTCTTCAGTTTCTTAAATAGTCGTTTATGCAAGACCCGGTATAATGTCCTGGCTATTTCCAAAAATATTGCTAAAAATATTTGCTTTTCTTCGCAGATTTTTTCAATTATATCAATTTTTCGATGAATTTGGTCATTTGTTGAATGCTTATAGAGCATCAGGTAGTGACAGGCTTAGGTGTCCCATTTTCGCATATAGGCCTCGAAGAGGGTTGAAAAATACATCGATTTTAAGTAGAATGAAATTAAATTTACGAGTGGCTCCTGGGGATAACACATGGAAAATTCGATTTGCCCCAACAAAAAGGAAAGGTTATTTGTTGCCCATATTTCTACGCCGTTTTCACTATATGATTAATTAATAGAACTAGGCTTCGAAAAACCAAAGGCTTTAATGCTGCAAGTGGCTAAAAGGGTTGAAATAAGTGCGTAATCTTAATCCAAATTTCACCAGAATTTTCCATACAAACGTACATCGTCACTAGTCCGAAAAATATATTTGCTTAAACGACCTGAATGTATAAGTGCATTTTGGGATCGGAAAGTTTTTCTGATAAAGAAAATCGAATCAACATCGATGTACTTTTCAACCCTCTTCGAGGCTTGTATGCGAAAATGGGGCACCTAAATCAGTCACTATTGGATGATCTATTATTCCTTTATTAAAACTGATGCGCAGGAACTACTTTTTTCTTTATATTAATAGATGTTACTTGCTTTACAATAGTTTAGACTTGATTATAGTGAAATACGATGATGCTTCCTTTGGGGGTTTCCATGTTTGGCGATCAATATTATCTAGGCTACATTTTAGGTATCTTCTATACGTTTTGAAGGAAATGCTACATTTATAAGGTATCTAAGGTTGTGTAACGGTATATCTATGATATCGTTATTTTTTTTTTTTCGCCTCTAGAGTCTAATCACTTTATGTGATTGTAAATATATTATAAAGACTAGTCTAAAATTAGAATTCTTCGTGACAGACGACTTTTGCAAAATATTTTAGTAGCTAATTTCTTGGTCACCATTTGATAAATAATTCCTTTCTTTGAGTAACGATAATCATCGTTGGAAACGTAATACAATATCTTGATGGTGTAAAACGTAATATATACGAAAATCAGATATTATCAATTGTATATAATGGAGCAGTAAAATTGATGTCCATTAGATACTTCAAGGAAACGACGAACGATTTTTTTTTGGGAAGATTGTTGAAGGAGAAGGCTAGTTTACGAAGCAGAGTCAAGTAATTATGAAATAAATTGGAACAAACAAGATCGTCCCAATTACCAATTCATACAGCCAAAGCTCCAAACTTATGAATTAAGTTATTAAATTATGCAACAATTTCAGTAAATATATTACTTTAAAAATAATTTTATTGTGATAAACTTTAGTAGATTAGAATTTGTTCCGTACCGTACCGAAAACATATCCTCTAATTTATTAACATTTAATTATTATTGTACTTTCATATTATTCATTTTTAATTGCAGAAGTATTTAAAATATGGTGGCGTTCTTATTTTAACCTATTGCCATTTCCTTATAAAAGATCCTTATAAAAGAGCTTTAACCACTTTAATTATAAAACAACAACAAACGTTACAGTTCTCAAGAATTTCTTTGGTTATCAGGTCGTCGCTTTATGTTGTTTTTAATTACATCCGATATTCCTTTCGACAGTGGCGGCTTATGGTAAAAATTTTGGGGTGTTCTGCAATTTTTGCAAAAAAAGCCTTTGTTGTCTTCTAAGTCAAAGTCCCATCGATTTTATCGTGCTTGCTGACTGATGGATTGCTGGAACGATTGCCACACATAAAAAAAGAATCACCAAGCACTATTTTACTGTACTCTATTTTTTTCAAGCAAAATACAAAATATTTAAAAAAATGACGGAACAATTTAAACAAATAGTGCGATTTTACAGTCTATTTTTTATAAATTAAGTCTATCCTACGTTCTTTTCGATTCGAAAATTTTGTAATAACTTTCATTAAAATTGTCTATTTCGGAATAAACTTTTTTCAATAGATAGCATGGATCTGTCATTGAATTTCTGAGAAACGTTTTAATTTGATTTAGTGTTGAGAAACATCGTTCGGCCTCTGATGTTATCATAGGAGTTGTTACCACAATTTCTAATAATTTTCTAGTCTCCTTAAACGTATCTCCTAGATTGTTTGATATTCAAAATTTTAGTAGAGGTAGTGCGCCATTTAATGTCCTGCAATCATTTCTTGAATAAATAACAGACAGTTCAGTTTGCAATCGTTATGTGTCAAGTGTGGGATTAAAAGAGTATGCAAAAGTGAGTTTATCCTTAGGAAGTTTACCACAATACTCTCCAAAGTATTCCAAAAAAAAAAGTGAGGCAACTACTAGATGCTCTTTAAAATCACATAGATCGTTTGCACAATTTAGGATAACGTCACACACCTCTAAAGCAGAAATCCAGTAATCAAATCTCCTGTTACCTGGGCACTTGCGTTATTTTCTGGTGGTTGATCGCTGATGCTTCATTAATAAATGCTTTCAATATTATTTCGAACTTGAGTGATACTGCGTTCAAAATTATCGATAGCGTCTTTTACTAGAGTGGGTTCAATTTTCTTTGCTGTAGTTGATTGAATAGGATGTCTACGTGGAGCATCATATGATGAAAAAAAAAAGTCAGACAAAAATTGAAGATCGGATCATTTAATGTACGGCGAATAGAGGCGGCTGCACTGCAGATTGTGTTGTTGGTGAATTATTATTCTTCTATTTCATGCATACACTAATGACAGACGTTTTATTTTCATACACAACATTAATGGTCCTTATATTAAAATTCCAACGGGTTGAAGCGCCGCGGGATCCTTCTTTTTACAATCTTGTTTAAGACTTCTACTCGCTGGGGTGAATTATTAGAAAAACCCGGAATGTCATGTAAATTTCCAAAAAATACACGTTCTTGCGAATTTGCAGAAGCAGCTTTGGACATAATTAAATTTAACTGATGGGCATATCAATGTACATAGTAAGCAAAAGGTTACTTTTTAATTAGTGCTCGAACTCCTGCGTGTTGGACGCTTATCACAGCGGCTCCATCAAAACTTTGTGCAATCAATTTGTTCGGTGAATTTTGAATTAAAGGATCTATAACAGTTAAAATTGTTTTACTAAGTGTTTCTGCATCACATTTTTCACTCACCATTGCTAACATATCTAAAAATTTAACTACCAGTTGAGTTTTTGCAGCAAAATCCATTGTTTCGTCTGCCATGATCGTCAAAAATGGAGAATTATTTATTTCCTCAATTATTTGTTCATGACAGACATCGAGCATACACTGTAACAGATCGTTCTGTATTTCTTTAAAGGTGCCTTTAAATACCGAAGAATTTTTTTGGTGGTCACTTAGAGTTGCATCTAATTCAGCCGAGAAATTTATGAGTTTACGAAATATCCTTGGATTCTCGGAAGAATCGCTCTCATCATGTCCCCAAAGAGCCAGTTCAAAAGCTCCACAAAACCTAATGCAATTAATAATTTTGAATAAAATATACCTATTCTTTAACATATTTCATTATGTCTCTGTATATTTAACCAATAAGCAGAATCTAATTGAGCCCTAATATTAGTTGTCCCTAGCAACGCAAATTCCATGCAATTAAGAAGATGGCTTTATTGCCACCAAATAGTAAACAGGGAAAATAGTACAGAGCATTTTTTTGTTGCATCCACGGACCCATTCGTTTTTTGAATTAATATCTCTATTAAATTTTCGTGTGTAACTTGTTCCTCTACTTACACCAGTTTTTTCTATAATTATATCTGGTAATGGCCTACCTTTTGCTTTTATTTTCATCTTTTCTTCGTATGTGTATTTAAAAAATTTCTTTACGTTAATTAAATTGAAGACTCATATTACACAGATAATTGTCCGCAATACACAAAAACACAATACACGCACCGTTAAAATTATTGTTTTTAACTTTACCTCGCCGTAAACTCAAAAGTCGCAAAAAAAATTTGAAAAATCGACATCGTACGTATTACGCGCTGCGCTGAACTAATTGCACCGAACTGTTCACTTTAATCACATTTGTTTTAACCGTGGGCGCAGGGGTAGCGGAGTGCCGCGCGGGTGTTTGAAAGAGCGCTCAGAGCTCCATCATCGTGTGGCCCAGATAAATATTAGTTCAGCTATAGCCTGTGCAAGCGTGTGTGTCGGTAGGTAGGTTATTCAACTGGTCGACTTTACGTAACGGACGACAGCGATGCCGGCGCTTCGCCAGCATTTTTTTAAATCATTATTACAATGCGAATATAATATTATACATTTTCTTTTTGGTAACAGGAAATAGTTGATGTATTTAGCATTTTTTTGGGAGCTCTGCAGCACTGCAGCACTTATCTACCAGCCGCCACTGCCTTTTGATGGTATTAGAATTATGTCTAAATAAATACCTTCATACGACAATAATTCCTATATGGTATTATTGAAGTTTGTAAACTGAACAAAATAGCTACCTTTGCTGAACGAGCACAGCGAGGTAATGCAAAATAAACGAGTTACCCCAAACGGCATTTCATAACGTGTTACTTTCATTATTTTTTCTAATTTAAATTAGAATATTTATAAAATTGTGCTTGGTAAAACATTACTAACATCTATGCAAAAATATTACTTTCTGGCATTATTAGTTACATAACCTTATTCATTTTATTTACATATTTGTTTAGAAAAATAGAAAATCATAATTTATTCTCATCCACTTGTTGCAGGATGTTTACTTATTAAAATTATTAAGTTATAAAGAAAGTGGGTCATTTTGTAGTGTATTATATTTTGAATATTATTTGCAGATTAAAAATAAGGACCAGAACAAAATTATTTCTAGGTTGTAAGTTTACTAACAAAATCTTTATTTATATAGCCAACCTTCCGTTTGTCGATACTCGTATACTTTTCAATAAAAATGTATATATTGATTTTGAAAACAAAAAGGTTTATTTTTATTTTTTTTTTCGCAACTGATGACAATGAATTTTTCGTAATCAGTTACATAATGTTCAACTTTATGCAACTGGTTGCATAAATATCATTTTGACAGTTGCTGCGATTACAAAAAATTTCACTTTATATTATGTCAAACTTATAAAAAAAATATTTACAAAATTACAACACAACTTATGAATTATTAATTTTCGACTATCTGTAAATACGCAAAAGTAATTTTGGTATGGGACGTCACTGAAAAAATATGTTAGATTTCTTAACTTTTTTGAAAAGAATTCGTTTCTTAGATGATCTACAAGGGTTTGAAGAGAATCCACATACCAGTTCACGGCAAGTAGCATTAGATTTTATAATCCAACAGAACGCTAAAGAAGGAAAAATTGCATTCATATAAAGGTTCTTTAATTCAAAAGCTTCTGGAAGACGAGCTTATTTGATTTTGAGAAATTATGATGTAAACATAAAATTGATGCAATATGTTAAGAAAAATGTCAGTATTCGACTACACAAAATCCATATTGTATGTAATATCGTACTCATTACCAGGAAAAATTGAATGTAGGGACGAGGACAGTAGCTAATAGAATGCGCGTTTGAATGTATAAATCAATGGGCTTTAGGATTTTTCCAGACGTCAGCGCTTTACGAAATAATGAATGTATTGCTTTCATTTGCAACATATTGAATATAAATACCGGACCTAAATAAAGTCCCCTGAATTTTCTTGATTTCTTTTTTATCTAGCAGTAACTTGGAACTTAATTGAAGTTTGTAGTAGACATATTAGATTTTAAACATAAACACACATCACTATTTACTCGTTTAATGAAGAAACACTTTTAAAATATTAAAAACCAACAATAATGAATTACAAATTTCTTTTTTCGTCTTTTATTTTAATAGCCTCTAATTTGTTTACACTACTAGAGATTATTTTGTTATTTGTTATGAATATAAGAAATCACTAATTTGAAAAATCGGAAACAAATCTCAAAAATCCCCTTACGAATTATTTAGACCATCCCGGACCTCAAATTTGAAAAAAGTACCTGTAGATTTGAATAAACATGTCATCGCCGGGAATCGAACCCAGACCTCCACGTTTTCCGGACGTGTGCCCTTACCGTGAGGCTCTCAACGACATTGACTGTCGAGATTTCTCAATGGAAATTTGAAGTGCTAGTTCTAGCCAGACGACGTTCAGGTTTCTTCTTAAATCTACAAATAACTCAAATGCAGCATAGGTTTAATGAGAAATGCATTTTAATGCATACTGAGCTTATATCTTAATCTGCGTGAGTAAACTTTCAATACACGTTAAGCGACGTAATAAACCTGAGTATGTAATTGTGAATTTAATATATTTTAGATCGCAAATCGTAATCCGAAAGGTCAGAATTATCTGAAAAAAGTTTTTAAATAATTTAGAAATTCGGAAACAAATTTCAAAAATCTCCTTACGAATTATTAAGACCATATCCGGACCCCAAATGTGAAAATAAATACTTGTAGATTTGAAAAAAAAAGAAATCATGTCATCGCCGGGAGTTGAACCCAGACCTCCAAGCTTGCCGGACGTGTGCCCTTACCATGAGGCTATCAACTACATTGACTGTCGAGATTTCCAAACGGAAATTTGAAGTGCTAGTTCTAGCCAGACGATGTTCAGGTTTCTTCTGAAATATAAAAATACCTCCAATGGAGCATTGGTGTAATAAGAAATGCATTTTAGGCTCAGTATGCTTTAAAATGCATTTCTTTTACCAGAAATCAAATCACGACTGGTTGAAGACTGACTAGAAGACCTGGTAGAGCCAAGAGAAATATCAAGACAATGAAAAGGTCAAAGAGTTAGCCCAAGAAGGCTCAGATAAAGCCATGACTGGCCCCGAACCCTGCTGTGGAGTTGCTAAGGCATTATGCAAGGCAAGAAATCATTGGTCGAGTTCACAAAAGACCTACTGGATAAAAAACGTCAAATCGTAAGTATAAAAGTAGGTCTTCTTACCGGACACTGTCGCCTAAGAAGGCATATAGAAGAAGAGAGAACATCAACTCACGTTCTGTGCCAGTGAAAGGCCTGTCTAGATCGAGGTTTCTAACATTAGGGAAAGAAAAGTCAAACTCATGGAACTGTCACTGGAAAAGTTACTAAGTCTAATAAAAAATACCAAGCCAGACAACACATCCTAAAAACAGAGTCTCACAATAGATCTGAAATGGTCGCGGTGGACAGGAACAAATAATTTTCAACTTCTTTCAAATCTAATCTAATTTAATGCCGACCTTTGTAAACGATCCCTACATTGCTCCGGTATACCTTAATTCTACTAGTGGTTTTTGATCATTCCTAATGGTAATAGGTCTGGCTCTGCAGAAGAACTCAAACTTCTTTAAATCAAAAACTTACATATTACTAAGTAATTTCTTTCTGCTAGCATATAGGTCTTAGAAGCATATGCGATGGGTTTTTCTCGATTTTTTTCATATTTTTGAAATGAAACAAATTATATTCCCTTGCCTGAAGCATCACTACATATTATTAGTTCTCTGTTATGATAATGTGTTAAAACCATATAATCGGTAATTTCTATCCTTATTTCCTGAAAAGCTACTTTACACTCATCAGTCCATTTCCATTTACTATTTTATGACAACAGTTAATAAATTAGATTCATTCTACCTAGTAAATTGGAATTGAAATTTGTATGATAACCTACAAAACGTCTCGTTTGTTGATTTTGTTGATTGGGGAACAATTCAGAACAGCTGATTTTACTGTCAGTTTACCGTAATCTATGTAACAAAATCTCAAAATTTTTAACATGTTTACTATCAGATCTAACTGTTACTACTATAATATCATCTATATAATTTATAACACCTTTTCAACTCTGCAACATTTTCTCTAAAGTTCTCTGAAAAATGGCACTAGCTGGTGCTATACCAAAAAGTATTCTTTTCATTTTATATAAACCTTTATGAGTAGTTCAAGTAGCAAGCTTTTGTGATTCTTCGTCTAATTCCAATTGTAGGTAGATTAGATTAGATTTAATTAAGACTGTGGGCCATGTGGCCTCCCACACTTCAATCTTTTTATATCCATTGTGGATATTCTTTAATCATTGTTTAGATTACCTTGTCTAATTCTTTCTTTTCTAGTAAACTTCATAGACTAGAAAGTAGTTCTCTGGCGTAGCTAGTAACCCGTGGCTTTGCTCCTTCAAGTGTAAGGGATCTCAGTCTTGATAGATCTTTGCAGTAGTACAATACGTGTTTTGCAGTTTCCTCCTCTTCCTGACAGAATCAACACAAGGTCTCTTTTGTTAGACCGATATTATACATACTTTTATTAAACCTAGAATACCCTGTTGACCCGTAACTGGTATGGTACATTTTATGGAACGTCACTGGTAATGTGGGGTCAACATTGGTTTTCTTATCTTGCTTTCGTAGAAACTTGGCACACCTTACTCGCTTCTGTAGTTGAAACGTTTCCCCTTTTAGTGGCTTAGGAACGTCATTTACCAGAATGCAGGGAATATTCTGTCTGGGTA